GATAAATCCATTTCTGATGTTATCTTTACCATATCTATAATATATAAGAGATATATAAATTTTTATATTTTTCTGCGTAGAAACACAGTATTATTTACCACACTGCCAAGCAGAGCAAGTCCTCTTTCAGATGTCTTCCAACTTTTGGGTGCCATGCTCACCCAAATTAACATGGCAGCTGTTTTTTTTTTCTTTTTTTTTTCAAGCTTTCTTTTCCATTTTCCACTCTCATGAGATGACCAAACAGCTCTGATGTTTTAGTTTTTTTCAGTTTTCAGTTTCAGTGCTCAAGAAAAAACAATGATGATATTGAGTGTATTCCTAGTAGTGCAATCTCGACATGCACATTTGATCTGCAAGATCACTTCAGCAACAGTGGGCCAGTTAGTAGTGTTAGTGTAGCGGAATTCTGCTAAACTTTAGCGTAGTGTAGCAGAATTCTGCTAAACTTTAGCGTAGTGTAGCAGAATTCTGCTAAACTTTAGCGTAGTGTAGCAGAATTCCGCAACATCTGCACTAACATTACTCGCATAGGCCCCAAAAGAGGGCCCACTACGCTACGCTAACACACTGGTTAGCAGTTTATTGGCCCTGTAGCGCAGCATAGCGTAGCAAAAATACGCTTCAAAAATGCTAACACTACAATTTTTTGGCGCAAAAAAGTGCCGCTACGCTGCGCTTTTTGGGCCAAAAGTGTAGCGTAGCGGCCCACCACTGACTGACTTGAGTTGATGTGACCTCAGATGTTCTCAATCAAGTCAACATCATCTCATGCTTGATGAACACAAACCTCAAACCTAATAACAAACCAACAAAAACACCACACCACAAAAAACTTATCTACATATAACTAAAAAAATAGGCTTATAAGAGAGCCAAACAAACTGTCATGCAATCTAACACTGGCGTCAACCTCCAATTCACATTTGTTGGATTTGTCAACACCGGCGTTAGATCGAGGCAGACAGGTGTCCAACTCAAGAAAACCTCAAAGGTCATCAAGTAAAACCCCCAACATCCGGGGCAAAAACAAGCTGCCTCCCCAAATTTGGGGGCATATACTAGTAAAATAATAATAGGATCAACTGTGGGCCGCTACACTACACTACGCTAAACAGCCCACTAACAGTAGCGTAGCGGCCCTCAGAACAGTGCGCCAAACCTGTAGTGTTAGCGCGCTGTTAGTGCCACTATGCTACGCTACGCTGCGCTACAGCGCTTTGAGCGGCCAAAACGGCCCAAAGAAAAACCGCTAAAATGTGCTGTAGCGCAGCGTAGTGGGCCCTTTTTTGCGGCCCACACGTGTAGCGTTAGTGCAGATACAGAAATCTGCGCTAAAACTACCCTACAATGTAGTGTATTTGCGCTACACTACGCTAGGCTAACACTACCGTTAGCGTAGCTGGCCCAGCGTTGATAGGATATACATCTCTCACCAGGAAACCTCAATGATTGCTATAGAAGCTGACTCAAGTGACATCCTGGCAACGTCAGACTCATGAGTCCACAATCCTACCGCTTCCCAGTCCCGCCAAGCTCTGCCTCAGCCCCCGGTGGTACAGGCCACACAAATGACCATCAAGCCTGTGTAAGGGCATACCTTTCAGTATCCATGGACTGTATACTATAAGCGCATCGTGAACGGCTCCTCCGAAATCTGGATTTTGCGGCAAATTCCTTCCCTCTCTCTAAAAGCACATAGCCTGTCTAAAGCCATACAGATATCCTTCTCCCAAGGGATATGGGCTTAGACAGCTTTGACTGTAGAGGGAGGGCATGATAAATGGGACATAATTGACAAAGAGGAGCATTAATCATCAATCTGTTCCACCCGGAAGAGTCATCCAGTGAGCATTTGTTCTTCTTGGTGGATGATGAGGGGGGGGCCAGATTTCTATCAAAAGAAGAGGCACTTGAGACTCTGTGCCCTTGACATCCCCTGATCTCTTTATAGGCTCCTCTTCTCCTCCCCCCCCCTCTCTCTCTCTTCTCCACCAAAAAAAGAATACCTCACAAAGTCCATGAAAACTTCATACTTTGAATGAATAAAAGCTTGGATGACTTGAAACAATATACACATTTGAAAAAAAAAAAAATGTATAAATAAATATATATGTAATATAATACAAGGAGAAAAAAAAAGGAACAAAAAAAAGGAGGGTTGGATGAAGAAGGAGGAGGAGGCGCAAACCTGCCAAAAAAGATGCAAAGGGATAGCTATAAAAACAGGCGAGAAAAAAAGGGAGAGAGAGTTGGAAGAAGCTGGAGAACTGGAAATGGAGACCAACCGTGAAGGAGTCGAAAGAAAGAAGTCTACGAGCTCTAAGGATGAACGAAAACAGTTGATTGATTGATGGAATGGAATGGAATGGCTGATGATTGCCGAGATGGAAGCAGAAAAAGCAGGGAGAACCAGGTCCGAAATCTAAGATGGGTGTTGTTTTTTCTGATGGCAAATAAACTAGAGAGATGTATATATAAGATGGAGGGTTTGAAGAAGGAGGAAGGGAGAGAAGTATGTGAGGAGACTGCACACGGCCCACACACACCTCTCCACCACTCCACCACTCCGCGGTACAAAGCAAACAGGGACCGGACCATACACGACCACGACCACATACCTCCACCGACCAATCAATCCACCACCTCCACCACACACCGACACAAACACGCCAGCCATCCATCCGGATCAACAACAAAACTTTAAAACAACAGCAAAGAAAGAAAAAAAAAAAAAAAAAAACACTTGAACCAGACGAGACGAGAGGACGGTTACGATCCGGAAAGAATGCCGAGTCCAAGAGGAGCAGGAGGAGCAGGAGAAGGATTTCTAGTAGGGTTGGACGAAGACGAAGAACTGGTCGTAGTAGTCGGATTAGGAGTAGTACTGGCAGTAGTAGTAGTATTGTTCGAGGTTGGTTCGAGGCCAGGAGCGGGAGAAGGGTGGCGGGATTTAGAGGCGGGGTTGAGGGTAGCGAAAGCGGGCAAGGCAGCAGGACTGGCAGAGTTTGCCGCCGAGGAGGAAGAAGAAGAACTAAGCGAGCCGATGGTAGGCAAGTTGAGAGCGGATTGCGGCCTGCGATTGTTAGCGATGAAGGCGGCCATCATCCCAGGAGGGCCGGCTTGGACGGCAGACGGGCGAGCGAGCGTAGACGGAGGTTGGCCGGCCGGCGCCGGGCGCCACACCCCGTTCTGGATCGGCGGGTCCAGCGACGAGAGTTGGCTGCCTCCCCGGCCTCCCGCCGTGGGGCCCCCCGGAATCCCGCGGAACGACCCAGCCCCGCCAAAGCCCGCCGGCCCACCCGCCGGGATCACGCCCATCGTCCCCCCCGTCCGTCCGGCCGCCAATTGGCTCACCTCCGCACTCGTCGAACGCCGCATCAGGCCTATTCCTCCTCCGCCTCCTAATCCCTTCTCCCCCATCCCCCCAATCACCATCCCCTCGATCGCTGGTCTGATCAATGGGGTCTGCGAATGGTTGCCACCCCGGGTTTGAGGCGATGAAGTATTACTGACATGTCCTCCATGTCCTTGGATGCTTATAAACTTTGATGCTCCATGTGAGCCACCCGAATGAGCCTTCAAAAATCAATTTTGTCGAATGATCTCAGTACTTCCTTCCTTTTTTTTTTTTTTTACATGAGAGGAATGAGAAGAAGCCTACCGAAAATTCGACAGAGACCCCAGAATGGTCATTAATTTCGAGCACATTGATCAGCCGTTTGCCGAGCGAATTGATCTTCTCGACGTTATCTTTCTCCTTGACCCAGATCTGGATCCGATTGCCTCTGGGACGAGTGGCGACGATGGCCCCACAGACGAGGTCTTCATCCTGTTGTTGTTGTTGTTGTTGTGGACTGGTGCTGCTCGTCTCGATCTGTTCGCCAACTAGGCCTAGGACTAGATAGGTCCATAATTTGTCGAGTAATGCCAAGTTCGAATTCGATTTCATCGTGATCGTCCATTTTCCTCCCTATACATTAACAAATTAGTGCTTTTAATAAAAGAATAACAGATAGTAAGAAAGGGGGGGGGGGGGCTGACTTTAGAGTTAGCCGGATCTTCCCACATGGGCTTGATATGAGCCTTGAAGAGTTGGACGGAGGAGTTCATGTCCATCTGACTAGGGATGACGGTCCAATTGAAGAACCTGCAGAACTGTTCGACGGATTGGAAGGTTCCGATAGGCTGGAGGCCGGCCTCATAAGCCTGACCGCCGGTAGCATGGTTGCCACTGGTGGACGAACGCTTGGAGAGACGGGTGTCGAAGTAGAGGGTCCATGAGTGTTGGAGGGGGTGTAGCTCTTGAAGGGGTTGTGATGGCTGATGATCGGTGTTTGGTTGCTGATTGACTGCTTGGTCGTTCGAACTGATCGGCTGTTGTTGGACGGCTTCCCCTACAGTTTGCGATGGTGGTTTCGGTTGAGCGTCCTTTGGTTGTGAATCGATGATCTGGTTTGATGATGATGATGAGGTAGATGTTAGGACGAGGGCTGGGGGAGGATCGGTTGCTGAGGCGGGCTTCTCAGAGGAGGTAGGCTTGGCTTCAGTCTTGCTGGGAAGTGCGTCTGGTTTCATCCTGGCGATGCGTTCCTGGATTGCGGCTAGGGAGGGAGCTCTGGCTCTGTTGATGCCGATGTTGATGTCCGAAGCTGATCCTCTCCTCTGGAGCAGCAGTTGATGGTGTTGGGAGTCGGCTGATTGATTGGGGTCGGTTGTTGAGGTTGTAGTAGTAGTGATGTTTGAGTTGGTTTGGGGTTGAGGGTCTGGTGGTGAGTTGGTTGTGGTTGTGGGTGTTGATGCAGAGATGCTGGATCTTCGGTCGAGGCTGGTTCGTAGGGTTGAGAGTGGTAGACGGAGTCGGCCAGTGCCAGTGGCAGTGGAGGGTGTGGGTGTGCTGGCTGAGTTAGTAGTGGTGGTGTTGGTGGTGTTAGTAGTCAGTCGTTCTGAGTCAGTCTCGATCTTGAGTTGCTGCCATCGCTCTGGGTTCGATCTCATGGCCTCGGTGAGCTCGAGCAGGCTGGGCGGTGTGAGTGTCTGTTTCCCAATTCGGCCGTCTGCTGAGCTGGGTGGGCTGGCTCGGTCCATGGCTGTTTTCCGATTCGGGGGATCAAGCAAGCGGCTGAAATTGAAAATGTTTTTGCCTTTTTCTGGCAACAAGGGGGAGGAGAATCAACAGCTGATGGGACTGAGCTCATATCACTCTATGTAGCATCTTACATCTCAACCGAAATCCCGCGGGGGAGCACCCGGAACTGTACAGCCTGTGTAACCAATCAACAGCCATCCATTTAATTTACACAGTGCCACGACAACAGCTTCATCCATTACAACAAACTCCAAGCGATGAGAAAACTATACACATACAGCTCAAAGGTTAAGTTCAGCTTCCACTGATCACGAGCTCATGATCACACATTTTCATTGGAATTAAAATAAAAAAAAAAAACCCCTACATCATACAGAAATCATGGAAAGCTGGAGAACAAAAACCAACAAGACTAGATGGCACATCAAGAGTGATGGAAGAATCAAAGCGGAAATGTGTATGTATCTCAGAGGACGAGAAAAGAAAGGGGTTTGTAACGATCAAAAACAGTATATAACCCAGTAAATAAAAGAAAAAGGATGATGGATGGTATTACAAAAAAAAAGCAAGCGTATCCTACTATGTGTAAAGCTAAACAACGATTCCATGATGAGTCAAGAGAAACAAAAGGAGAAGGAGACGGGATGATGTATTCAATCCAAGAAGAGCTGATTCAACAAGATCCCCAAGCTGATAAACCCAAAGCTATGAGTACCAAAGAGATTAGATTGAGAATGAGTGGCCACAGTCCAGGCAACGAAAGCGCGATGAAGAGCGAAGATTCGGTCATTCCTATCAGCTGTTCGCTCCGAGGAATCACCAGACCGATAGTCATTGTCGTCCAGTTCATCGATTTCAGCAGGCTCCTCATCGGTCTTCCTAGCCGAGCTTCCGATGATCTCCGACTTGAGGAACCCAAAGAGCTCCGAAGTCTGCTCAAGCAACCGACTCAACGCCGTCCGTTTCTGGAACCGATCGCAGGGCATGATGATCACCCCTAGGAAGGCCTCCGACTCGGCCAGATGATGGCCAGCCTGCCCAGTCGAGACGCTGTTCAGCTTGCAGATCTTCATCAGTTCCGCCCCAAACCAGCCCATCAGACTCCTCAGTTCCTCCCGCAATCGGTCATCGAACCGGAGGATCGAGCGATGCTCTTCTGAACTCGGATACTTCAACTTGATCCTCCGCACGATCAGCTTGCTCAGTCGGTCATTCGAATCTAACGGCTCATACACCCCTCCAAACTTCTTCCGCTCAGTCCTCCGAATTCGATGCAGCTCGGCTATGTCGTCATCGATCTTCGACGCTGGAATGAAGATATCGATCTTATCGGCCGGGATCTCTCGGAATAACTTCCCCAAAACGTTGGGTGATTCGTAATAATCTTCACCCTCCTTGCTGCTATCATGTTCGTGACCTTAAGAGGAAAATCAATAAATAAATTGTTGGATGTCATGAACCAGATTTTAGAATTGCCAAAAAAATAAAATAAAGAGTGATCCAGATAAATATAACTCGTCCGGAATGAGATAACCGGAGAGGACTTACACATAAAGTCCGGTTTCATTCTGACCGGTGGATTGGGCAGAGACCGTATGTTGACGGGGACGCTATATAGAACAGATCGAATGGGAAAAAAAGCAGTCCCCCCAAATCAGGAAAAAAAAAGGAAAAGACCATGTATAAAATGTAGGCAGACGCAAGGGAGGAGGGGGGGATGGATATTGAACTCACCCTGTCTTGGGATAATCGACAGCATCGGAATGAAGCTCTGCTAATTTAATGCAGGATTCATTCAGAGTGCCTTCAGGACATTGGTCCGCGATGTGCAGATGTCTCGTGGCTATCATCCCAACCAAATCACTCGAAATATAATCCAAGAAGAAATCCGCTCCATCTGCAATCCTATCGACCCCAACAACAATCAGCAAAGAAAAAAAAAAAAAAAATCAAGGTGTCAGACTGTTTTTTTTCCCCCCAAAACGACTAGAAACAAAAACAAAAAGAAGAAAGTCTTTCGGATAGTTATATGATTGATATTTACGTGCAGTCACGATCCAACTTCCTCATTTCCGGAGGTGAATAGCTCGCAGCTCGTTGGATTTTGGAGCGCTTCGGGACAAGCTGAGGCAAGCCGATCACAGTAAACAAGTCACCATCGAGATCGCCGCCGCCTAAACAAGAGGGTAAGGACCTTTCACCTAAAACGACACTCATGGAGTTAATTGAGAGTTTCGCTGCACGAGTTTTTTTTTTTTTTTTGGTATAAATAACGGCAAAGTAGCAACAACAAAGGGAATACCTTGAATTGGAAACGCAACGCAGTTCACCAATGAACTTAACCTGGGCGCTCTCTTTGGGTCCAGCTTTCCGACCGCATTGACCACTCTGACATCACCCGGATGGAGACTGGGCGATCTGGTGACAGCGAATGAACCTTCGAGATACATAGGAGCACTGTTGGGGGTTTGAACACAAACATAGATCGAGTCCGGTGGCAAGAAGTTGTCCTCATCCGCAACACCAACCAGAGTGTATGACTTATCCAGTGGGATCCGACCTCGATATTTCAAGTCTCTCAAGCATTGCACGGTCATCAAATCGTAGCACTCCTCTATAAAGTCCGACTCAACGGCCCTATCATCAACCAAGAGCTCACTTAACTTGTGCAGCATTGAAGGCATCCCGCTCCCAGAGCCCATGGAATATTGTTGCATCAAATTGCCCGCTAGTTTGGGACTACTACGCGAGTTTTCAACCTTCCGAATGATCTTATCCTGTAGTCTCAAAAACACCTCAGAGGGTATCCCAAGGTCCTCGAGTAATTTGATCAGTGGGCGATTGAGATAAGCCACCAAAGGCTTAGTGAAAGTCCCCGCGATATCAAGGGTTAACGAGTCGGGTGCGTCGAACTTGTCCATCGAAGGTCTCATCCGAACCACTTTCCCCTTGAGGGTAGGATCCAGTGATAGCATTCCTTTGAATCCACCCAATCGGATCTGATAACAAGTCGAACTGATCGACTTTCGAATATTTCCGACATTCAAAACCCTATGGACCTCATCGACCAAGTCTTTTGAGATCGTCCCTACGCCATCAGTGAAACAAGAGCCATTCCGTTCGACATCGTCCATTCGAGTGACTTCAGATGGTCGTAAGGTTAGTGACCTGCGAGTCGAAGTGAAGGCCTGTGCGATTCGGGCCATGTAACGAGCAGGAATCCGGATGCTTTTTTTGTTTTTTTGACGGACACGATCGGGATTCTCAAAATAATCATAAGATATAGTGCAATAAAACAATACGATCAAATGGACTCAAGTACCTTGAAAGGAAACAGAAAGAAAAGCTCACACTTTGCTGAAATCTCCAAGTTTGGCGCGAATCGAGGCGGCAGTGACGAGTTGATCGCCCTTGTAGAATGGACAGACAAACCAAGCCTGATGATCTTTGAGTGCAGAATTGGAGTACCCCAAGAATTCGAATTTCCGACCACAGAGGATCATTCCTTTCGTCAAGAATGGCCGATAGCGATTGCGAAGTAGATGATGGATTTCGACTTCCCGACTCGCCCTGAGTCGATGGCCGGTCTCATCGGCTAGGGAGACTCTCAGAAAGTTTTCGGTTTGTTGGTACAACCTCAGGATACTATTAGACTGCTCGATTTGGGGGCCTTGAAGAGAGAGTCTGGTCGGTGTGATGGTGACCGTTCGACAGGGGAAAGAATCGCCGCCTTCTATCTTCAGATGGTTCAAATTGGCCTCTTGTGCACTCGCTTTCAGAGCTTCTTGGAGGACTTGTAAATAGACCGGTTTAGAAGCCTGTAGCCCATTCTTAGTTCCTTGGTTATTTTCGCTGTACTTCTCAATGAATTGCACGAGAGCTCTTTCAGCCACACACTCATCGATGCCCATCAGGGCTTGACATACGCGCAGGATCTGGTAAGGTAGAAGGATCGAGTTGTGGAGAAGAGATTCGATTTGAAAGGCCACTGGGATTGTAAAACAGACAAGGTTTTCGTGAATCGCCTTGATCCTCTCCGGGTCATAGTGATCTTTCTCGACGATCGTCCGACTGAATGAGATGATTTTGGGTAAAGGGACAGCAACTTTCAAGGAGCAGAAGTTTTGGAATGCAGTTTCACTGGCAAATTGGATTCGAATTTGGTTGTTCACAAACGGGAAGACATCTGCCTTGGTATGTGGGTATCCATGCACTCGAATTCGTGGACCAGCATCCTTTGTTTTCTCCGCAAAAAAAATTCAAGAAAAACAAGGTTTGTTTGAAAAAAAAAAAAAAAAAGTTCTTATGAGTAAGTCTTGTTGAATTTTAATCATTTCTTTGATGAATCAATTCTGAATTTGGCCAACATGTTTATCCAGAGGTGGGAGAGGCCCAGTGAAGTAAGAAGGGATCTTATTCACGAGCTCTTCGAACTGAGGTGGTCTTGCAAGTTCGAGGATGACCCAAGGTGAACAAGCTTCAATCTTCCGTAAGGTCTGTAGTTGGATGACAATCTTCTTGGATCGTTCTTGAGTGGTCCAGGTTAGCAAGATGAATTTCTGATCAATGTCGAATGTTAATTGACTTGATTCTGAGGGTAAACAGAGCGTATATTCTGATGAGAATGCCGGTTTGTTGAGGTGTTGACAGGTTCGGCCAAAATCGATGAGACTGATTGGGATTGGTTTTTGAGTCAACTCTAGTTCCTTTAACTCTTGGATCACCTCAGTTGTCTCTTTAAATCTAGAATCTTTGAGGCTCTTGATCAGTTGAGGGTGCGGGATGATTCTTCGACCATTCCTGAGTGAGGGTTCGAATTGGATGGGGGATAGATTGTTGAAGATCTTGACTGGATTACGGACGACGGCAGACAAGAATCTGTGGCCCAGTTCGGAGGTTGGGAAGGTGAGGGTGGCGATAAGTCGTTGGGATCGATTGGTATGGGTGGGGTGGAAGCTAGGTTGGAGGTGTGAGTGGGCTTGAGGGTGGGTGAGTGGGCGGACGTCGACCTGGAAGTTGGATCTGATTTCGTTGGACTTGAGCACTGGGGGACGATGGATGACTTGAGAAACCGCAGTGATCAGTGCAAGCTTGGTTTCCAGTTGAGTTCCAGCCGTGGGTAAGTCACGGGCATAAACCTCCATGATGATACTGGATTCAAAGAAAATCGCTAGCGTAAGGTATTCAAAAAATGATGACGGATGATGCAAATCCAAGGACGATGAAATGGGTGGAAGAATCGGCAAGCTATGAAAGTAGGAGGGATATGCCCCAATTGATATCGAACCACTTAAGCGAAGTCCACACTAAAACTTTGTCTATCTGACAGTTCTTGATATAATCCAAGAGAAGAAGAAAAACAGTCCACCTCTTTAAATGTTCATATAAGAAGGTAACTTCTTGGACTCGTAAAAGTTAAGCGTAACGGTTAATCATGATCCTGCAGAAACAACGATCTTGCAGCTAGCTCCGATGAAAATTTCAAGGGATCAGTGTCTAGAAATTTGAAATGATAACAAGAACTGGATGGCCGGAGATGGGGAAGTGGGAATCTGAGCATTGAACTCATATTTATCAAATCCCGATACGGTGCTGATTATATAAGCAGCACACGAGATTCACTCAAGTCGCCCATATTGCATACACACGCCCCGTCCCCATCCCCACAGCTCTGCTCAGATGCATAACAAAGCCCATAAAAAAGCCCTGCCCTGCCAGGGCAAGGCAAACGGGTTCGGGTGCAACTCGGACTTCTTGAGATAGCTGGTGCGCAATTAACGAAAATCCCTGAAAACCCTTCTATCTTAGCCCTTATTGGAAAGAATTCTCCATGCAGTTAGGTGGGGCACGCTAAGATGGAATTTGTAGGGGGGGAGGGGGTGGGAAATTGGGCCCATGAAGCCCTCTCCTATCATGCGGCTTTCTAGGCGGATTATCTATCAAATGGTATAGGTTTATGAAATTTGGACATATTCCACTTGAGTGTTTGGTTCTTCTTGCAGCAGAGAATACAAACCGAGTATCCCACTCGAGGCATCCATGCTAAAAAGCTGGTCGACTTACTTGTGATGGTGAGTTGGCCCATCAAACTTCCACTAACAGGTTATGAATTCTTTATAGAATTAACATTGAGGGAATCACAGCATTCAACATGAAAAAACTTTTGCCTTTTGATTACTATAACTTATTTTCAAAAAATAAAGTGCATCTTTGAAGGGTCAGAATAGATCAGTTTTTTCAACAAGATGACCAGTTTTGATTAGGAATATAAATGGGCCAGGTCTGGATCCAGGCCAGACCAAAAAAAAAAAACTTTCCAATAAGGCATCAACACAAGTGCACAATTTCATTGTGTTAGTCTTTGGGGCTGAAAGCTTTCAAGATGCCGTGACTTTCCCCATTCCTGATTTTGCATGTACTTCAGATGTGTTGGATTGGACCATTAGTCTTGATTGTGCAATTAATCTTGAATACCGGCCATTATATCGGCTGATTAAAAAATTGTTTCATGGAAATAAAGAATACAAAATTTGAAAACTTGCAAACTCATTTTTGTTTTACTGATAATGGATGACTTCCTGTCAAGATATGTGGGTCTCCCAGAAGCAATTGAAAGCCTCAAAAGCTAGATTTCAAATCAAAAATCTAGACTTTGCTCTGCAAGGGTCCCAGATTTGACAGGAATTCCCCCAATAACACAATTTTCTTTACACACAGGTTGTTTTCCTTGTTCTGTTCAAAAATTCTTCTGACTACAGTGCTCAAAAATGTGATGTGTGTGTGTGAGAGGCAGCTTCAGCACCAACACTCCACTAGTGAACAGAACTGATATTATAAGGGTATTTGTGGCTTATAATTACTTATTTGTAGAGGTGTTTGTGGAAGTCAATCCAACCTGAAAACATAATGCTTTGATACTCAATCAAATTTTAAATTTTACTTTTTCTTCAAAGGCAAAAATATAGATTTACTTTTCAATTCCAGAGAAAGATTGATCTTTGTAAAATTAAGGTGGCCTGTGTACATGTATCCAGATAGCCAAAAAGAATTGGCAAACATTTTCAACAATTAATCTATCACTATAGATAGACTGAATTTGAAAGATGGTAAATTGCATTATCTTTAGAATCTGAATGAAAACAATAGGCCAAAGAATTCTGATCAAGGAAATACATAAAAATACAAGACTGATCATCTGAGTTTTATTTTACAATGTTATTTTCCCTGATACATGATATTTTTCCCAAGCAAGAAAAGTGATCCAGCAACAGATCAAGAAAGAAGTACAATTCCCTGGTTGAAAGAATCACAAACAATTAGTTACAAACATGTTAAAGGTTGCAAAGGTTGAGGTTGACTAATTCTCAATCTTTTGGCTGAGAGTCTTGAATGATCAACAACATTAGTCCAGCCAGAACATTCAAATATTTCATCAATTTCTTCCAAGGTCCTCCCAGCTGTCTCAGGGAATAAGAAATAAACCACAGGAAAAATGAAGAAATTGGTGACTGCAAAGATGATGTCTGAAAGAAAAAGGTGTGTCAAATAAAAAAAAATGACCTAAATCAGCTCTAGAAATATCTTTCTAGCTTTTTGCTGATAATTCTTGTTTAAATTTGTGATCTTTGCTTGCTGAACTCACAGGTTTTATAGCCGATGTTCTCAAACGCAATTGGGGTGATTAGGACAATGATGAAGTTGAAGATCCAATCTATTTAAAAGATGATGTGAAGGGTAAGGGAAGCAGTTGTCTTCAAAATGGTTTCCCTTCAATTGTGCAATTCTTGATCCCTGGAAACTTACTAGAAGCTGTGCTAATTCCATTGGACGCTTTTGGGAATAGAAAAAAGAATTGATTCATTGAAACTGCGAGGGGATTAGACTTTTTAGTGAAAGGTTCAGGTCACTTACCGGCTCGAATTTCTAGCGGAGTTATTTCTGTTCGTGTCCCTCAAAGAAAGATCTATCAATCTATCACTGAGAACCTTGATATTTCAAAGGGAACCCCTCACCTGCTGGATATAACCACCTGAAGGAAAGAGAAAAATAAATAAATGTCTTGTCACTGAATCTTGGATGTATGTAGCCTCGAAGAAATCTATTTGCAAAACCCTTACGTCATACCAAGCCATCCTATGGCAAAAAATGAGTTGAAGACAAACATGAAGATTGCAGCAACAACTGCAGCCCCTGGGCTGCCTTTCCCCGAGACCGGATCGGCTGCCCAAGTCGCGATTGCAAGTCCTACCATACTGATTCCCATTCCAGCTGATCCTAGTAACATCAATTTGCGACGCCCATAACTCTCTGGAGAAGATACATAGGATTTTTTTTCTCGTTGTCAGAAGCTATTCTGTTCCCATGATTAGATAACTAAATTTGCTTACCAATTGTGTAAACAGCTATCCACGAGGCTAGAAAATATTCTGTTCCATTACAGGCGGCCACAATTCGCGACATCATGGGACTCAGACCAAGGTAGTCTATGTGTTAGAAAGTGAACCGTGTTTTCTTAGAAAGCTCACAATATTTCGGAGAATTGGGAACTTGTGAGGGCTTACTTTGGTAAATGGTTGCAGCGTACTAGAAAACAGTATACCAAAACCAAGTTGATCCAAAAGATGTGTCAATTCTCATCAGGATTGATGATATGGGGTGACTTGCTATGTGTAAATGGTTATCGAAATTTACTCACAAAACTTATCAAGTTGATCCCACTTAACGACGAATGAAAACAAGAAATGTTCTGGCTTAAAAAACACTTACAATTTACAATTTGAGGGTTCGAAATCAGGGCTCACCTGATCTGTTGAAAACACTGATTCACAGCTCCTAATACCAGCCTATGAAAGTTCCTACCACGACCCATCTTGAAAAGATCTTGAAGACCGGAGTTTCCGGTCAGAGCCAACGACTTTTGAACGTCTTCTATCTCCTTTTCAACCAAGAAATAATCCACTTTGTTGCTATCTTGGAGAGCTGAAAACACTTCCCGTGCTTCTGTGACTCTTCCTTGTTTGATTAACCATCGGGGTGATTCAGGTAGGCTGAGGACCGTGAGACTTATTATTAGCGCAAAGATGATTTGAAGGGCAATCGGAAATCTCCATGATGCTGAGCTCTGCTGTGCGAAGTACATTCCGAACTATTCCTCGTCATAACAGCGAAAGTTAGACATGGGATGCATGAAGTCAGAATCCGATATGTATGTCTTGCTTATTTCTTTTATTTACAAGCAATTTTTTACCCGTTACTTGTTAAAATTCTTTCGATTTTTTTTTATTTCACTCAAGATAAAAATATGTCCTTCTGGAGAATCTAATCCGGATCAAGCCAACTTACATCGACCCAATAACTGAGACAAATTCCTCCAGTAATCAAAGCACCTTCGATCATCACTAGTTTTCCTCTCTGATGCGCTTTAGAGCATTCACTATCGTTTTCGAAAAAAAATAAAAAAATAAAAAAATGAATATAAAGGTTGATATGATTCCCTTTTTAATGAGAGAGGCTGGAAAGACACACGCTTGCCATGTAGGAACCGTGGCGGTGATGAACCCGTTTCCGTATCCTGTGACGACACGACCAATGATAAAATGAGCCAGATGATACGCAGTGGCCTGCAAGGTTGCGCCACAGATCATGATGAGTGCCCCATAAAATATCACTTTTCTCCGTCCGTATCGATCTCCCAAGTATAGACAGGAAAGAGCGCCAATCATACATCCTTCATCATGCGAAAGAAATTCAGCATCATTTTTTGCTCTGCGAACACTGCACTCTTGAAGGGAAGAAGAGGAACGTGTAGAGAAATCGATCATAATTACCTATCTCATACAGAGCTCTGTTGAGCGGCAGAAAAAAAGAAAAGAAAAAAGAAGGACGGATGTTTAGTCATCATCCAATTGAATTTTTTGACAACAGGAATCAAACTTGATGAGAGCAGCTTCCCCCCACCAAGGAAGGAAGGCAAACAAACAAAAAATCGGCTCACACAGCAGTTCCTTGAAGAGTAGAGTTTTTCTTCTTCTGAGCTGGGCTCAAAGTTACCGAGGTAGTGTCTATGGACCTGAACGTTTTTACAAAGGTTGGAAGTGTTAGAAGTCCTCCCATCACTCCCTGGTCATAACCGAAAAGACTGAAAGAAAACAGTCATCAATACGATTATTTATCAACCCGGTATGAATTTTTTTATATGAATGCTAGACGTTAAGATCCAGATTTGTGAGGCTTACAGGAATCCCAGACCAGCAAGGGTCGCAACTGCCAGATGAAGTCGATCACCAGTAAGGCCCCAATATAATTGGCCCATCGTTGTTTGTTTTCAACCGAGAGAATCCGATTCCAAGGAGGAAGATTGTAATTCTTATTTCTCTATCAAACTTGACTGGTTTGGATGAGAAGCCGATAATGTCCAATATCTTGACCAAGATTTGAAGCTCAAGTGATAAGAGTCCAATTTTCGATTGGCGGGAATTCTCTGAGCTTCAGGTGGCCATTTCAAGAAATTGAGAGAGTCTCAATTTCATCGGATTCCAACCAAACTCATTGCAAACAGATTGTACCTCCTGTTTTAACAGGATGGATGCTACATAAGGTTACAGCATGAACAAGAAATGCATGTCTTTGTGGGGCCACTTTGATGATCCCGTTTAAACCGTAAGTTCTGCACATGTGCCACGTATATTCTATCGCTAGTTCAAGCTCCAATAGAGCGGCATGTGAGAAGCTGAACGGTACATGCAAATAAAAGAAGAATGATGGTGACTGTGTGATGATCTGTTGAATTCTGGAAGACCCGAAAATGCTTAACCACTCTTGCTCCCCATGGAACCAACTTCGCTTTTATTGTGATAATAACACATGTGTGCTTGGAATATCTTGATCTGTTCGTTGAGTTCAAAGACAAGACTCTTGTATTGTGAGCTCAAAGTGCTTATGTGACTTCTCTATATCACAAAATAAAAATAAGTCAATGCAAATCATACATGACTCTGTGTAAATGCGTAGTGGCAAGTGTTTAAGCTATTTTTAAAAAATAATGTAACTGGTTGAAATTCATTTATAGAGGATAAAGTTAACAATTTTTTTTTTGGTTTGACACCCAAGGAGGAATGCATTTGATCCTTTGGCTGTCTTCCTGAGATGTTCTACTTCAACATACACATTTGGAATGTTATGGTAAGGAGCGAATTCAAGCAAGCCAAAAAATTGAGTCAAATCAGCTCTTGCATTGCCAATCTGTCTATGCCCCACTTGTGTGTCATTAACAAGCGTCCAAGTCAAATCTAACTTAGCACTGGGCAAGTCCTCTCCGGGGAGGTCACGCGAACCTCCGCGAAGCGCGACCTCCTCGGAGGGCACTTGTACCAAGTTAAAAGCCAAATGCACCTGGCGCTGGCATCCAAAAAAGCCGACAACAGTTCACTCACATCCCCACGTTAATCGCTTTCAGGATCCCCTGACCGCAAGCCTCGGAAACGGAGGGACAAGCAGGAGAGCCCCTCCGGCTCGATCCAGCGCCTGGATTTCGGGGGCTCAAGACTTTTCAATCATTCAATTTCAAGTCATTTGTAACAGTCTCACCAGATCTGATTACATTCATAAAAAAGCCCCACCCAATTTTTCCTTGTCTTTGGTTCGATTTAAACAGCGCTACGGTGTGGAAACAAGACTAGAGAAATAGAAAATCAGGAACAAGATGCCCATCCAGATGCATTCTATCAGGGTCGAGACATGGAAGCCTAAGAAATAACAAGGAAAATAAGAAATGAAGATGGACTGCAAGGTGAGAAAGACAGGCACTGATGTGCATAGAAATCTTCAACTTGTCAACTCGATTGATGAAGCTATTTGTGTGTTTGTTTTTGAAATAAAAAATGTCCTGATTTGCAAGGAATGGGTAGAAAGGAAAACCCGGAAGCAAGGTTGACAAGGAAATCTTCGGGTCGGACATGGTCATCCTATAGGGCTTTGTGACATTTAGCCTGTTTGTAACGGTCCGACGAGATCCATGATCCCGCCTGAATTAGAGATGTTCAGACAAGGAATTGGGCGGTCAGATTTGCGTTATCATCACTGATCATGGAAAGGTTTATTACTTACCGGGATTGTGGCAAGAGGACAACATCGACGAGTGTGTGGTCCATATTCTACGCAGTTTTTTCCTCCCGCAGGGAAGCTGAGGTTTTTGTCTAGACGGACTGGGATCTTGTCCGCTCGGACTAGGCAAGATCATTCAAGTCAAAGAATTCTTTTCAGTCATGCTGCTCTTCGAGTTTGCAAATCGGAGGAAGGGGGGGGGGGGTGTTTTCTAAAACTAATCAAATAAAAAAAATGCTCACCATAAATTGCTAGGTCTCCATGAGACACCTCGCAAACGTTTTGCGGAGCATCTTTGCCGCAGTCGTAAGCGGTCGCAAGCCTATCGACGCTGATAGCCATCATCATAAGTGCTACCTTGAAAACGTGCATTGTCGCGGGGAGATCGTACGTAACAGGTGAAGAGTACGCAGAATGATTTGGGATGTTTGGCTGAGTGGATGGAGGTAGGGTGATGTAGTGCTTAAGAGACCGCTAGTCAGCTTTATATCTATAAATCATTGCCTGAACTGTTTTCTTTCCCTATCACGAGTGTTACACAGAGGGGCCTTTGGGTACGATGGACCCCGGCTTTCTGGCAAGTGGCGCATTTGATTTCCCTTTTTTGGGCCTCCAATACACAGCTTTTGGCACTAGACGACCCATACAAACCCATCCTGTGAAACTCTTGTTCGAAAGAGGCCAGGGTCTCCCTAGAATTAAGCGTGTTGACACTGCCTTCTCGTGGGCGACACGATGCTAGAATAGCACAAGGGGTTTCAGGGCAATTGTGCAGCCTCCTTCTACCCTGTGGCCAATACAGACCACTTGTCATGGGGGAAAGGAGAAAGTGGTAATGGAGCTTGGAGGTTTTAGTTTTCAAGACTACGAGCAATGTGATTGCAGAAGGGGGTCTAGTTTGTTGATAAGGTTGCTTAAAGTAGGGGCGATTGTAGCGGAGAGGGAGATGGGGGTCTTGTTTGAGTGTATCAATCTCACTCTTGCTTCTTGTCCCTGAGGCACGAGGGGGCAGCTGTTACTAATACAACTGACTGTTGGCAAGCCATTTTTATTCAAGGATGCATACTACTTGCAAGTTTTATAGATGCGAATTGATATCAACACCAGTAGATAAAAAATTATGACATGATAGATTAGTGATACAGCAGACCCATAAACCCTTGCAACTTCCCCCCCCCCCCCCAGAAAAAGATATACACAGTACCACTACCAAGCCGTAAAACGGAGCCTCTTGGCGGCAGGCCGCGCTTCGCGTCCTTGCCTCCCACCCGGACTTTGTCATTTCATTCACCAAAAAAAAGATTAATTCATTGCTTCAAGGTTTTTTTAGTTTTCGTTTCAAGGGGTTTGTTCTTTACTTTTTTTTCGTGTCAAATTCAAAGCATCACTATGTAGTTATAGAGTATATATGTAAGTGTAGAAAGAAAAGAAAAGAAAAAAGAAAAAAGAGGATGCAGACCCAAAAGAGGGGGCAAAGAAAGGGAACTTACATACACATGTATAACAACTGTAAACCATTGGAGGGGAAGAAGAAAAAAAAAAGACATACATGAAGAAAAAAAAAAGAAGATAATCTTGTAAGGGATTGATAAAATCTCTGTATAATTGGTGAAAAAAAAGTTGAAGGGAGGGAGAAAAAAGGAAAGAGATAAGGACAGATAGGTATGTATGTAATTCTTGTTAGCTCGATTCACATGTATATACATGTCAGTATAATTTCGAGTAATTTTGTTTGAGGTAGAAAAGAAAAAGGAAACAAAGAAAAACTTCGATTTTACATGAAAAGAACAGGAGAGGAAGAAAAAAAGAACAAGTAGTGTTCAACATGAGGGGGGTAGGAGTAGTTAAAAAGGAAGATTAGGTTTGATGGTGGAGATTAAATTGTTGACGGTTTTCAGGGCCACCAGGGGCGCCGCCAGAGGCTCTAAGAGGACTAAGACTAGTGGGCGGAGTGTTTCGATTACCGGGTCTGACGAGCACGCCGGTCTCGGCGATTCTTGCGGACTGAGGCGGATGGGAGGAGTGATTAGGAGTACCGTTACAATGTTCGGGGACGGATTGAGCAGAGGATGAGGATGATGAGGATGAAGAAGTGCGGGTGTTGATGGGTTGAGGTTTGTTCACATCTGAGTCCGAGTTGGATCTGATGTTAGAGGAGGAGGTGTGAGTGGATGGAGAGCCGGCTGGGATGGATGGTTCGGTTACGGGCTCGTTGTAGCTTCCAGAACGAGATGCAGGAGGCTCAGTTTGACGGTCGTTTGCGGGGGAGGCAGCCGGGGTGGAGTGCGGGACGGGCAGGCCAGGGTAAGAGGTGGATGGGGTGGTGAGACTGGTGGCCAGGGAGGCCGAGATCATGTTGGCAGACTCGCCGGTGATCGAGTTCGGGGTCATCGGAGTTGAGGAGGTAAAGGAGAGTTGGGCGCTGCTTGAGGAGAAGGATGGGGCATGGTGCGAGCGCCGTGGGTTGTCGGTTCCAATTAGGCCCGGGATAGGGATCCCATTGGCACTCGTGCTCGTTCCTCGCGATCTTCGTCGGGCTGCCCGGGCCGATGGATAACTTTCTTCTCCCGCTGGTGCCGTACCAATTCTAAAAAAAACCAATGATATCGAGTCAATTATCTTCCGACGCGCTACGCTTATAGCAGTCCAGGGAATGTAAAAACAAAGAAGGGAGTGAGCTTGTGCCTTACAAGTCATCAATTGACATTCCTGCGCGTTGCCTGAGCGCAATTAGTTCACTGCGGTACATCTTTCATCAATCAAGACAGACAGAGATGGAAAGGGTCAGGATTGCAATGACTTTCAGGATGAAGGGTTTTTTGTTTACCTCATTTTGGCGAGAAGTCTTGATGAATTCCCGCTCGGTATCGACCAATCGGTTACGGAGATTAGAGTTTTCGGTCTTGAGGACTTCGATCAATGTGGCTGGAGAGGGATTAAGTGGGTGAGGGTTATTGATGAGCGCATTCAAGTTAGGGGCGATGGTAGCCGAGGGTGAGTTGGGGGCGGTAGATGAGTTCGTGGCGGCGGAGGTGGAACCTGGTTGAGAGGATTGTTGCTGTTGTTGCATCAATAGGGATAGTTGGCGCTGGAGTCTCAAGACTAGGGATTCCGATTCGGCTTCGAGTACGTTTTCCAACTCTGCTTTCTCGGCTCGAAGCTAGGATGAGAGAGAGAGAGATGATCAGGAGGTTGAGTCTAGTTGGATGCTTGAGGGCACTAGAGGGACTCACCTTCTCCAGCTTCCGGGTCAAGGTGTTCACCAATCGTTCTTCCTCTGCCTCGAGTGCGTTGATGAGATCCTCCTGCTGTTTGCTATCACCAGCGGCCCTGACTGACCTGGATGAAGCATTTGAGCGAGTCGAATCAGCTCTTCGCATGGTGCTGGGATGCGAGTTGGAGGGTGGATGTTGTTGCTCAGGTGATCCGAGTGCCATGATGTCTTGGGCTGATGTTTGTGTGAGTGAAGGGGAGGTAGAGTGTGTGTTTGCTGGTTGGTTTCTTGGTGAATAGTAAAAGCAGGCTGATCGGAAAAAAAAAAGAAAAAAAAGAAAAACGTCCCCGAGGGCATAACCCTCATGAATTTCGGGGTCTGCTTATGGGAGCAGAACATCACAAACACATCACTCTCTAAACCCAATTAGCAAACATACATCTGATCATGATCTACAGGAGGAGAAAAATCTAATTACCTATCAGAGATTGATCAGAAGAATGAAATATGAAAACACTGCAGAAACAGCTATCAGATGATCAGACAAAAGTCAAGAACATTCCAAACCAAGACCTCATCACCCACATCTCAGGATGTAAGTGGGTCGGGTCGGCCCGGCGGGGCCCCGCGACCCGGTGGGTCTTGGGGCGGGTTTGGACAGACTGTGGGTTAAAACTAGGGTTGACGGCGCCACTTTTGGAAAAGTGCGCGCCGGAGGGCGCCTCCAAAACTGCCAGCAATGCGCGCCTTTGGCAGGCACATTGGAGGCGCGCCAGGGGCGCCATTTTCCGCAGTAAAAAACATGTACATATCGCCTATTTTCCATGTTTTTTAATTTTTTAATTATATTTTTTTTTCAACCTAAATTTTTTACCACAGCAAAGTCTGACTTTGCTTTATCGGGTAGCCACAATCGGTGGGTGCCATGCAGCACTTCACACTATTCGGGGGTCGAACCGGGTTCTCGGGGGCCAAAAAGTAAGTTCAACCACCAAGAAACCCAAAAAATACAGCTTTTATGGGTAGTTGATGGATGACTCCCCCCGAAAAAGTTAGGGTTAGAAGTGCGCGCCACCCCCCCTTTTTCCAGATTTCATGCGCGCCGAGGGCGCGCGTGCGCGGCGCCCGCACATCGGCGCGCCGTCAACCCTAGTTAAAACTGACCCGGCCCGAAATCACCTGAGCAGTTATCGGGGCGGGTATGGACAGATTGAATCTTTGATGGGCCGGCCCAGCTGTGGGCCACCGACCCGACAAAACAGGGGGATTCCCTGGCACCAACGGTGCAACCATTACGAGACACGTACTTGTAATGGCCCGTATCGTACTTTCAAAGTTCGCAATTACACGGAATTGTATCGTACTCGCGTACTTCCCCAATAATACGATACACCGTACTCGTAAGATTATGTACTTGGGAAAAGTACGATACGTGACTGATACAGATACGTAACTAGCTGTACTTCCATGTACTCCTTTTTTCATTTTTGTTTGATTTTTTTCAATTTTTTTTGTATTTTTTTCAATTTTTTTTCCTTTTTTTTTCTGGTTTTTTCCCAATTTTTTTCCCGATTTTTTTCTCGATTTTTTTTCTACTTTTTTTTTCCACTTTTTTTTCCCAATTTTTTTCCCAATTTTTTTCCCAATTTTTTCCCAATTTTTTTTCCCAATTTTTTTCCCAATTTTTTTCCCAATTTTTTCCCGATTTTTTTCCCGATTTTTTTCCCGATTTTTTTCCCGATTTTTTTCCCGATTTTTTTTCTCAATTTTTTTTCTCAATTTTGTTGCTCAATTTTTTTCTCACCTTTTTGTTCTCAATATTCTGTTCTCACCTGTTTTTTGGGTCAGGCTAGGAGATTGAACAAACTGGTTCACTCCAAACCCTTTGGAATGAAGTGTTTTGTACTACAAAATCTGGGCCAAGTTTGTTGGTTTCATATGGAAGCATGTTATGTGTGAAATCAACTCAAATTCTATCAAATTTTGTGGGGATTTCACACATTATGCTGCTACAGTACACTGCTACATTGTGCAAACAAATGGGGACCTAGTGTTTTTTGGAGTGTTCAACCTTGCACTCCAATTTTTTTGGAGTGTAAAAATGATGCACTCCATTAATAGTCAAATACCAAACACTTCCAAGGTTTTTGGCAGCCTTCGAGCAAGCCAAGCTGGCCAAAAGACTGCTTAATTAAGCCCTCCTTTTCACTCAAGTTCACACTGTAACTTTTTCATCTTAATCTTTTATTTAATTCTGACTTCAGATAGTAATTCCTCTGCTGAATTTAAATTATTAACCACTACCCACTTTTACAATTCTCTTCTCCTTCAAAGACTTTGCAATATTTCACCGTACCTTGTGAAATATCAACCAAGTTAGAATTCTAACTCTCTCTACCACATGTACATGTTTTGATTATGTAATACAGCCATGAAAATTATCTCAGTTGATACTGAGTTTGAATTTTCAGGATCTTCAAGGTTCAGACCCACCCAGAAGGTTCACTCCAAAAAGATTTCCATTCTCACAACATTTCTCCACAGTTTTTGTGTATTCAAAATGAGTTAAATTCCAGCTAATCCACTCTTATATCTCTGAAGTGAACACCTGGGCCCTGTGTACTCCAAAACCTTGGGAGTGGATGGGATGTCAGTTCATATGTAGTTGTTCCTGGAGCATTGTTGGAGTGAATTGCCTGTGCACTCCATAAATGATTGGAGTGCATCATTTTTACATTTCTAAATAAATTGAATTTCAAGGTTAAACACTCCAATAAACACTAGGACCCCATTTTTTAGCACAAGACAGCAGCATAAGGTGTGGAATACTTGCAAAATTTGATAGAATTTGAATGGATTTCACACATATTATGCTTCAAAATACTGACTTGGCCTAGACTTTGGAGTATGAAACACTACACTTCTAGTTCAATCCATTTTTGGAGTGCATGTAGTAAAAACTAGGAGTGCCTTTAGCCTGACCCAAAATAAAAGTGAAAAAATGAGAATGAAAAAAAAATGAAAAAAAAGAGAAAAAATTGGAAAAAATTGGAAAAAAAAAGAAAAAAAAATTGAAAAAAAAATTGAAAAAAAGAAAAAAAAATTGAAAAAAAAAGAAAAAAAAATGAGGAAAAAATGAGAAAAAAATGTGGAAAAAATGAGAAAAAAATGAAAAAAATGAGAAAAAAATGAGAAAAAAATGAGAAAAAAACACAAAAAAGCATTGAGAAATGCAGTAATAGTGGTGAAACCCATCCCCATAATCATACAAAACTAAAAAATGTTGAAATTCTGTAATCAAGTGTGTTCTAAATATCAGCACATCAGGCAGGGACTTGGTGGCCTAGTTGGTAAAGGCAGCACTTCTAGTATAGTGTCTTAGCTTCAAGCTAAGGTTGCTGGTTCAAATCCTGACCAAGCCAATTTTTTCTGCTAACTGTCTGAAAAATGCATTGTTAATTTTAACAAAAAATGCAATTTAAGGCAGTGGGGAGAAAATACGGAGTACGCTGAATACCGTACTCATATCGTCCCAAATTCTGAGACAATACGGGCGTATTTTAAATTGTGTACTCGCTGGCCAAGTACAATGTACTCGTATCGTACTTGTTGACTAGGGTGATACAACGTACTCGAGTACACACGTACTCAAAATAAAGTACAGTAAAATGTAATGCGAGTACGATACGTGTATTTTAATGGTTGCACCGTTGCTGGCACTGTCCAATGATCGGACTCCAGAGACATATATATTTTCATTATATTATAATCGGATCCCCCAACAGCCTGTCAGACTTCAACCACCAGCACTCCAAAGTCATATCCTCAAGATGCCTAGAGGAAAACAGCCCCGGAACTCCCAGATCACATCCGCCCAGGGGACCAATACAACCGGTCCTGCTAGCGTCAGAGTCAGCCTTTTCAAATGGCGGTCGAGTACCCAGCGACTATTGTAGTCCGTTGAAACCCGGTACACTTGAAGCTCTCATTTGTGCTCAGGATTGGATCTACCATGAAGAGGGCCTCTACGAGTTCAATCAAGATGAAAATGACAACAATAATGAAGCAGAAGTTGTAGTCATATCATGACCTTTTCCTATTCCTATTCCTACACTCAATCTATTTGTTGAGTTTTCACCTCACTGAGGACTTGCGGAATTCCCGCGCGCATACCGGTGATGAGAAACCCCCAACTGCAGACTCATGAGAACTTGTATCGCTTAGGGTTGTCTTCTCCCTTAAGGAAGCCGGAGAATCCAACTTCCTTCTTCTTCTTCAACCAACCTAATCAGAATTCAGTTCAACTACCTAAAATCGCTCAACTCCTTGATAATCATTGATCGTCAAGAATACCGGGAAAAACACTCGTAAAGTAAAGCGACTTTGATAATTAGCTCCCGTAATCTGAATCCTGACTCCTTTCTTTCTGACTATTTTTTCCTCTCTTCTGTGTAGACTAGTACCCCGATCCTTCACAACTTCTTTCACCCTCTTAATATCAACACCTCCTTAAAGCTTCTGTTTGTCTCTCGTCTCCTTTTTTTTCTCTCTTTCTTTTTCTGTTGTTTGTTGTCGAAAGAAGTAACTCCTTTTCACTCAACCTTCTTTTCCGGATTCTTTCATGTAGTCTTCTTCTACCTCTCAAATACTCATCTTGTCTCTCGGATAGTCATTGTCTCTCCTTGTCTACATTGAATAGTGGTACATTTTCTTCCTCTTCCTCATCTTCAGTTTCTTCTCTCTGCTTATGATCTGATCTTTGTTTCTTTTTCCTTTCCAGTTCTGGTTTCTGTTTTTGAGCAATAAATTCAAATCTTTTCACTATTCTACTGGGCTTGTATACACATGAAAATAAGTCAAAAAAATTGCTTCAATTATATTGAATGCTTCCATTCCTCTTGTTTTCACTCACTAAGCTCAGCCTCAGGAATATGAATCTGATTTGGACTTATATAAGGGTCTGAAGATCATGACCAGAAACTAGAGGACTTCTTGTCAATGATTTGAAGCTCCCTTGTTTGCTATAAGTGTCTGAAAACTTGATCTCAGTTGAGTCTTCCTTCTAAATTGATAATATTTGGACAATCATTTGAATTTATCCATTGAGTGAACACCAATCATCATGAAAATTTGGGAGGAATGAAATTTCACACCAAAAAAATGAATGAGATCTCATACCAGGCTCCCTCCCCTGATTTGCTTGAGTCCAAGTCAGAATTGTCCCTGTTTATATAGGTTCCTAGACAGTAAGTGACAATTTATTGGAGGAATTTAGTGGATCAGGACATCCTGTGAAAATCTACAAGCCTTACAGAATCTGATTTAGACACACTAAGAACAGATCAATTGGCCAGTACAACTGATTCAAGAAGCTAAGAATATGGCTCTTCAGAGACTACAGAACCAATAGGAAGTCTCCTGGGTACAGATGATTCCAAAAAAAAAATCATGCTTCACACTTTCCCAGAAACAATAAATTAATTTGACAAGTTTCCATATTTCTGTACATCTCCACCAAGCATTGTACAGTCTTATTTCATTTTTGTTTACTGTTATTTATGCATGAGTTTTAAGTTCAATTTTAATCCTTTTGTCACATTCTGTCATTTTCAAAACCCACCCCATCATGTTTTGTCACATCATATGAAATTCCCCCTTATGAATTCATTGTTTCACCACATTTGTTTCATTTTTCAAAACCACTCTATTGAGTAGTATCACATCATATGACATTTCCCCACCTGTTTCACACAGCCTCTTACCCCACCTGTTTCACACAGCCTCTTCCCCCACCTGTTTCACACAGCCTCTTACCCCACCTGTTTCACACAGCCTCTTAACCCACCTGTTTCACACAGCCTCTTAACCCACCTGTTTTGCACAGCCTTGCTAAAATATATACTTCAATTAGATTCTATGCCCATTTTAAACACCCCATTTGCCTTTACATAATAGAAAAATGTGACAAACCATGGATTGAAGGATTCCCTGGAGCCAAAATCTTTCCAATTTGTCCATATAAGGAGGCTATCCTTACAGTTGTTTTTTTATTCATTCCTCACAGATTGAATAAAACAATAAACTAAACAGCCATTCATATACTTTTTATTATCTTAGAAACTACTCAGACAGAATGAATTTAATAAAATTCTCATCATTCATCTTTATGATTTATTTAGGAAATATTTTTGAAAATGTCCATACATGTGAAATAATTACTAATGGATCCACAAGGGAATTAGATAGTCTAAAATATCATAGTAGTCAAGAACTTGGTGAATGTGGGCATCCAGGGCGCAATCACTGTGAAATATGTGGAGCTTGTACAATATGTGATAGGCAACATGAATATAATGACGCTCATCAAAAAAATGATTCAAGTTCAAGTGACAGTGATTAAGACTAAATATGAATCAGACAAGAAATTATTCTGGAATGCAAAACCAATCTTTTTGGAAGACAAGCAATAGTTCCAGTAATAAACATTTATTTTCTGAGAAGTAAATCTTGAATAAGAAGTCCCCTCAAGAATATAAACAAGATGCTCAAGAATAAAAAAAGGCCACTCACCTGGATTCAACAAAAAAATCTACATCAATCTAGATTCTCATTCTATTCCTATTCTACATAGCTGCACCATATTTGAGATCATCAAATCTAACTTTTTATATATTTCCTTCTATGTCTTTTTCACTCTAGTCATATTTATTTTTTGGGCTAAGATTATTATTTTTTGAAATAGGCCTCATTTGGGCAAATGATTTTTTTTTCATTTTTCTTCCCTCCTTTTTGTGGTAAATTTTGTTCCTGCATAAATATGATGTGATTTCCTCCACATTGTTTCAGGTTAAGAATTTTTACTTGATTCTTTCTTCCAATTTTTTCCTATCCCCCTTCCACTCAAAATTTGTCTTCCAGGATAATGGCCATTTAGTCCTCTCCCTTTCTTAAAATAACCAATTCCTGTCATATTTCCTTTACCTCCCTCTCCTCTCCTCTTGACCTGTCCAAGTTCATTTTTGTGCTCCATCACATGTATGGTTTTGAGCCAGTATCTAAGATGTCCTCTCCTCTTTGAATAAAAACTATTGAGTCAAAGCCATTTTCTTTCATGACCCCTCCAGTGCCAGCTCATTTATCAAGTGAGGAAACCACATCAACCAACAATGAGAATTTACATTCCAAGTAGCCGTAACATAAATTTTTATGAACTAGAGGGTATCAAATATAACCAAATCCACCATCATTTAATTGACTGGTTTGAAAACATCCACCGTTTTTCAACATGTTGGCTCTTCATTTAACCCCCTTGGGGTCCCATTGATGCAAAAAAAGGTTTTGGGAAAATTGACTGGTTTCTAATGGGGGATTTCCTATATTTGATACAACCTACTGTTAAACTTTCTCATATCCAGAACAGGAGATGATTACACTATTTAATTGTTTTTAAGGTTTCAAATTAGTCTTGGAGGTAAAAACCTGCAATCTAAAAGCCCAACTACCCATCAACAGAAGAAAACTGAGAATATTTTATTATTTACTAGAAAGGTACTTGGGTTTGTATGGTAATTGTTTTCTGGCGGATGAATCTCAGGGAAAGGGGGGTTGATAAGCGCAAGCCAACCCCCCTCGCGCACGCCAGCAGCAGATTGATGTGCGTGCCTGCACGCCAATCTGCTGCTGGTAGATTGGCCTGCAGTTGGCGAGCAGGCCTGCTGTTGAGTTTTCACCTCACTGCAGACTCGCACGCATACCTGTGATGAGAAACACCGACTGCGGACTCTAGAAAACGTGAACCACTTAGGGTTGTCTTCATCCCTAAGAAAACCGCCGATAAACCCAAACTCAATCTCTCTTCAACCAACCTAGAAAGAAAACGGTTCAGGTTCAACTAACTGCACTCGCTCGACTCCTCGATAATCATCTATCGTCAAGACTTCCGGAACATAACTCGTAAAGTAAACTGAAGCCGATGATCAATCCTAGTCGAACTGAATCCTGACCCTTCTTACTTCCTGGTTCTATTCCCTATCTTCTTTTTCTCCCTGCATGTATAGACTGAGTATTCAGACTCCCCATAACTCTTATCACCTGCGCTCTAATCCTAAACAATTGATCTTCTCAAGCTTCTGTTTGTTACTTCTCTTCTTTTTCTGTTTCCTTCTTCTGTTGTTTGTTGTCGAAAGAACTGACTGTTTCTCTTATAATTCACTTGTCTTATTTCCTGTTGTTCAGACTTCTACCACTTCTAAAATCATTACCTCGCCTCTCAGATAGTCATCTTCTGTTCTGATCTACATTCATTAGTGGTATGCTTTGTCATCTTTTTCATTCTGTGTTTCATATTTCTCTTTCTTTCTCTTCAATGATCTGATCTCTTTGTCTCTTTTTTTCTTTAGTTCTGGTTTCTGGTTTATAGCAATACAATCAAATCTCTTCACCTGCACACCAAACTGGGTCCTAAACCCATATGTATATCGGTTTAGGACCGGGGCTATCCCATTTTTTTTAAGTGAAATTTGCCCAACAGCATTCCTCACTATGAATCTCAAAACAACTTAGCTGTAAATACAGGCTTTTTGGAAAAACATGGCTTAGACAGGAAAAGCGTATAACAAAGACAGAGATTCAGATGGGAACAAGAGAGGAGGAAAGAGAAAAAGAGAAACAAAAAGAAAAAAGAAAGAAAAGGAAGATGGAGGAACCAAAAGGAACTGCAGTACAGATCTCTGGAACAGAGGATGATGGTTTGAAGTTTGTAGACGGATGAGAAAGTTTTTTCTTTCACATATTCTGCCTCAGGTTGCCAGCCTTGGAGTCAGCCAAGCTGACCAAAAGACTGCCTAAGTCCTCCTTTGATACATCCACATTCCTACTGTAGCTTTTACATCTTAATGTTTTATTACATTCTGACTTCAGAAATCAATTCCTCTTTTAATTTCAACCCTAGTCACCACTACCTACTTTTATACTCCTCTTCTCCTTCATAGACTTGTAATATTTCACCGGGTCCTGACCCTGTGAAATAATATCAAGCAAGTTGGAATTTCAACTCTCCCTACCACATGTACATGTTGTGATTTGTTGCAATGAAGCTAGGCCAGTCAGCCAGTACATGGAAGGATCAGATTCATTGCACCACTCATGAGAGAAAGGGACAACTCACTAGCTAGGCCAGTCAGTTAGTACGTGGAAGAATGAGGAAAAGAGAACTTCCAAAAAATCCTGGCTGACCTTGTGAGCCTGGGTCTCAATAGTGACTGCAGGACACAAGGTTTGGGGGGAGATTTTATATGTATTTCTTAAGAAAAGAGGGATAGAAATAAAAGTAGAAGAAAGGGAAGAAAAAGAGTGAAAGAAGTAGGTAATATTTTTGTTCTTTATTTATTTCATGATGATAATTAAGGTTCTGGTAGTCTTACTGTCCTTTTTGGATGGCTTCTTACAGTCTTACTTTCCTTTTTAGGATGGCTGTTATAAGCAGAGCTAACTCTATGCTTCCAAATCAACTGAAACTGAAATGGGTTATTGATACCGATGAATCAGTTCAACCACAATTTTTTAGATCAAAGATCAAGGCTCTTTAAAGGGAAAACTATGTAGTTTTCAGTTGAACTACCAAACAGGATGAGTTGAGATAATAGCAGCTATGGCTTGCTTTTCTTTGATCAGGGCTTTGGTTTGATGAAGAAAGAAGAGAAGTTGAGAGAGACAGAGAAAGAGAACAAGCAGAAAGATGCTAGCTAAAACTTATAAGAAGTTACTTACTAATGACACCAATGATGTACACTGTGTAGTGGGAAAGGTGGGAAAAGTGGAGTACTTCTGTTTGATAAGTGTTTGCTTGATCTGGTTCTGGTTGTTGTGGTTCTGTGTTGGTCTGAAGTCTGAAAATCCTCTGGAAGCGGAATCAACAAGCTCAGAGATTTCAAAGTTGGATGACATAATCATTACATGTACAGGATTTTCGACATAATCATTACATGTACATGTGTTGAAATCTCCAGTGATCCTTCTGTGAACCTCGAATCTTATCCACATCATCTGAACCACCGCAGCCGAAACCCAATCTCAAACCTAACTCAATTCTCAACCACAAGCTCGAACCCTATCAATCTCACTATCTCAGGTATAAAAAGCCGTCGTCTTCTCACGTCTTCCAAATCCTTATCGGCCACTCATTCCTCATCTCAACAAGTCGTCACTCTCCAACATACTCCAACATCACCTTCGCCGACAATCTTTAGTCAATAATCCTTCACCAACACCATCGTCTATCTCGAGTCCTCAACTCCTGTGCCCTTCCATCTCAACATCATTGAGCTCATCATCAATCGGATCACTTAGTCTGATTCCATTTGGTGAGAAAAAAAGAATCCAAGACCAAAACCACCTCAAACCAAGACTAACCATTGTCCTTTCTTCCATTCAGTCCTCTTCTAGTCTTCCATATCTATTTTTCACTTCAGTTGTTATTTGACATCTATTCTCATACACTGTGAAAAAATCTTGTGTAACTGGAAGCAGTTGACATGTGGGAACTCCAATGAAACTTGTGTTTCAACTCAAATGTTACTCAAGAGTTACTTGAGTCAAACCTTGATGCACAGTGACTGTGCATCATGCACAGTCACTGTGCAGAAAAAATCATTTTGTAATAATTCTCTGTAATAACCAAGTTACAGTGTAACGACCCCGCATGTCAACTGCAACCAGTTGAATGAGATTTTTTCACAGTGATACTGTTGTGGTAAATTTTCCTTTTTCATTTATCTAATAAATCAACTTTGTTATTCTCTTGATCGTGTTTCTGAATTGTTTTCTGTTCTTAGTTTGGTTCTGTTTGCAGCAATCTAGTCATCAAATTTTCACACGATTAACAGTCGAATCCGCATGACAGACAACCTCGAAACGAACAAATCAAAAACTCTGACAACGAACCAGACATCAACCATCAAGACAACTGACTCATCAATGGATAAAATCAACGCCATGATACTGAAGACGGCCATCAAAGCCATTCCCTTACTCACTCAGGACAACTACACCATGTGGAACAATCGAGTATTAAACTTCCTTGAACTCCAAAAACTCAAGGACACCTTCTTGCAAGAGGATGAAGACAAACTCTCTACCGATGACGAACTCCATGCAAGAACAATCCTCACCTCGAAGTTGGATCCATCGGTTCACTCCAACGTCATTAACCACGAGAATCAAAACAATGCGATAAAGATATGGAAATCGATTGTTCAACACTTCGCCTCACCTCAGGCTGCCAATCGAGCTCGAGTCTGGAATCAATTTTCCTTGTTGCCCTTTGATAACACCAATGTCGCTCGCTTCATTACTCAAATTAAAACTTCCATTGAAAAAATTCACGAAGTCGGAATCAAAATAGACACCGATGTCATTGGCTACGAAATCTTGAAGAAACTTCCAAAATCCATTGAGTTGAACGGTCTTTCCACTGCGATCACTCACTCGGGATCAGACATGACTCCGGACCTCGTTCTGGATCATCTCAGGGTCTACGCTAACAATCAAGACATCAATGCCGCCACTCAAACTGGACCAGTCCCGATTCAAGTAGCCTTGTTCACCGACTCGTCCAGAAGATGCAAGACTGGTGCTCACAACACCATGGCCACCCATCCTCAATCTAGATGCTACATGTTGTATCCTCACCTTTGACCTCCTCCTGGGTCCAAGCCCAAAGCGAACCAAACTGAGTCCAAAGCAAACCAGCCCGAGGTTAGCGTTAGCAGCTTTCACTCATCTCAGTCCTTTCCCTTCCCAAACTTCATACTCGACTCTGGATCTTCAGCTCACATGACTTCCAATATTCATCTCTTTACAACTCTCAATCTTAAAGACGAAGGAATAGTGAGAACCAGCTCCGGGACCGAAACTCTGAGAATAAAAGGAAATGGATCCATTTCTCTCTCAAATAATTATGGGAACATAGTTCTTAACAACGTACTCTTCATCCCAGATATAGTTGTAAATCTTCTCTCTGTCAGATGCCTTGTTCTTGAAGGCTATAATATTCAGTTTGATCGTAATGAATTTTTTATCTACAAAAACAATACCATTGTCATGAAAGGAAATTACGTCGGAAATCTTCCCACTCTTGAGTTTAATAATCACTCGACTTTCCTCTCTTCAAGCAAAAATCTTCATAAATCTCTTGGACACATCAGCCTGCGAAGCCTGCGCTGTCTCAAAAATCACGAAAGGCTCCTTTCACCAGAGAAGATTGCTGTGGTAAATAATACTGTGTTTCTACGCAGAAAAATATAAAAATTTATTATTATCTCTTTATATATCATAGATATGGTAAAAATGACATCAGAAATGGATTTCTAATGTAAAATAACCCCTAGTCACCCACTACAACCATACCTTTATCTCTTATAGTTTAGAAGTTACACAGATTTCAACCTGTCATGGGATATTTCTTGGATTCTTCACTCTAGTCATAGTCATTATGAATACAGGATGCATATTGCATACTGGATTCCTTTGTAGTAAACTGAATACCTTTAATTTATTTTGAATCCCTTTGTATTAGTAATATTGCATGTATGCATCCCTTTGATCATACATATGCGTCCCTTTGTTCATTCATATGCATCCCTTTGTAGTAGTATCTTTCAGCCTGTACCCTGGGGCCAAAATCCCTCACATTTGTCTATATAAGGAGGCCTCTGCCTGCCAGTTGTTCCCTCCACCATCCCACCAGTGGACCAGATCATCTCAACCACCCTTATAAATAAATCCATCTTACATATTATTTCATAACTACAAGTCATAGCCACATTACAATTTCAGAATCATATACATTGAAATACAGATTTAACACTTTCATCATCATCATAAACCAAAAGTGCCTTGAACCATATCCATCAACAACAACTTCATCAATATAACCAACAGTCAACAACATCTTTATACCCTCACACATATCAATCGGCAGCTTCATCTCGAACTTATCCCTATCACTATATATAAAATTGCCAAGCTAAGCTTGGTGGTCTTGTTATTCTGATAGTATAGAAGGGCAGAGCTTGCAACTCCAACATACCCTTCTCCATTCAGCAAAAGGGTTTTCACAACCACTTTTGAGTCTTACAAGGGAGTCCCCAACGTGATAGGATAACCTCTGATTGGAATCGTCTGACCAATTTTAAACGAAACAAGAAGATAATCAAGAAGACATTGACCAAGGATCATTACTTTAGCGGTAAACGGAACGAATTTATCAACCATATCTGTAACAACTCAACGGCATATTCAGTTATTCTGTTGATCAACTAGTCAAACTTCAATAAAACAATTCAACGAAACAATCAACAAACCTCTGAAAAAGAAAGTGTAACCATCAACTGAAAACGAGTATCTTGAAGGAGGCAGCCAGTTATTGACCAAAAGAAGGAAGACCACCGAAGGATTTGGATAACTTGGATACTGTTTGAAGAGAACTTAGGAACTATTCGAAGGAAGCAGCTGCTTATTGACCAAAAGAAGGAAGACCACCGAAGGATTTGGATAAGTAGATCCTGTTAGAAGAAGAAATTCCCAGTATTATTTGAATTATTATTTTAGAGAATCATAAAACTTGCCCTGGTAAAGAGACCAGAGACCATAGTATTATTTGTTTCTTTTTCAGAGCAACCGTTAGTTTAGTTATCAGAGGAGCGTTAAGTAAGGAAAACTAGGAAAATCAATCAAAATCAACATGAGTTCACCATTCAGTACACCAGATTTGGAAGACGGATTTGCACCATCAACCCCTTTCAGGAACCAACTTTTTGATCAACCTTCGGGATCATCTTCAGCTTTCAATTGGAATTCAGAGAACACGGTTCCACCACCACCAAAGGACAAAGGGAAAGGAAAAGCAAGTCAAATGCGAGATACAACAGATGAAGACTCAGATATAGGAGATACTACACCTCAAGGAACAAATATACCTCCTGTGTCGGGATATGGAATTCACAACACTCAGAATGCGGGAGAACCAGTTTATAATCGAGAACAACAACAACCTGACAATCAAGCAAACACGAATCAGCAACCCATCCCTCAAATAGCACCAAGAATTATCAAGGAACCAGGACTTTTTTACGATGGTGAAAACTTTGGAAAATTTTTGATGCGGTTTGAAAGAGCGGCTAGGGCGTTTAATGCAAGTGACTACGATAAGGCATTACAAATCGGACGATTCATGAAGACCGAGGAACTCAAGATCCAACTAGAAGCCATGGACGGGTTTGAGAAATGTGAATGGGCGAAACTACGAAAGGAAATGGTTGAAACCTGGGGCGAATTGGACAACACAATCTTGTACACCTGCAACGACCTGGTTAAAGTTATGAAAGAATACGGAGTAAATGGCGGAATCAAGGATCATCGGGAATTCAAATCTTACTTAGGAAAATTCACCACCATCCTTAAATACTTAGTAACCAATAAGCAAATACATCAGAAATCGGATGCCTCAATACTCTTTCTGAGTGCATTTTCCCGTGAAAGTCAAATGAATATCAAACGTACTTTAATTAGCTATGAACTACTTCCAAAGGGACCGGATGGAAGCAACTTACCTCCACTCTGGGAAGACTTGGTCGAAGCATCATGACTGGAAGTACGGATCGTGGAACCTGGATATTTTAACATCTCAGGATTTGGCGAATCTAATCAATTGATGCAGAATAAACTGAACGCTCAGAAGGGAAACAGCCAACGAAGAGATCAGATGATTGCGGAAGCGCCTACAGGACAAGCCATGGACAAACAAGTAGAAGATATGGCTCAAGAAATCGCTTCACTCAAGTCTCCACTGAAGAGCATAATCCCTGTATCTTACAATCAATCCGGATCCAACGAAAAATCGGAATTTACTAGAGGAAACGCTAAACCTTCAACACCATTGTACAAAACTCAAGTTTGTTACTACTGCAAGAGGGAGGGACACGGAACCTTTCGATGTCAAGAACTCTTAAAGGATGAAGAACAAGGATTAGTTAGGCGTAACGGAAAAGACTGGTATTTACCAAATGGACAACACATACCTTGGAATCCTGCAAGACCTATCAGAACAGTAGTAGCTACAGCGTCAGCGGACCCTCAAATGCAAGAAGCCGCAAGAAAATTAGCAGAATCCCTTAAATCAGGAGAAACTCAAGCACCGGCTACAATGAAAACCTCAGCTCAAACCATTGATTGGGATCCACCACAACTAGGTGCAGAAAATTTTCTGGCCAATCACGCAATTACCCGATCCAAGAGCCAACGAGGAAGACGCAGTGTTCGGATTCAAGAACCAGAAAAGGATGACATGGACGTTGATCAGGAAGACGAGCTCGCCGATATTACGGAGGAAACACCTAAAACACCTGTGGTAGAGAAAGTGTGGAGTAAAGAAAAGCCAGTGAATAAAAATAAGGCTGCAACGCCAGAAGAAGCTCTGCTGCAAGAGTTGGATCATCTAAAAATTCCCACAACATTTGCGCAACTTACGGCTATCTCACCATCCTACACAGAACAAATAATCACAAAACTTCAGAATCGACTTCCAGAAAAAAGTAGTGCAACTTATATTGCTACAGAAGCCACAAAAGTCTCAGCAGCCATGACCACTCCCGAAATAGAAGATTCCTCGGACCCTTGCTACTACAGCTGTGCCTTAGGATACGTAACAGCCGAAGTTGGGGGAGCTAGTGTGGAATTTATGGTAGATTCAGGATCCATGGTAAATGTTATGCCAAGATCAGTAGCGGAAGATTTGGATTTGGAACTAGTTCAAGTAAATATACCAATGAAAGGAGTTGGGGGAGCAAGATGTGACTTAAATGGAGTAGTTGAAAATTGCCCAGTTGGAATTGGACGATTCTCCGGACCAGCACATTTATTTGTTTCGCCCAAGGCTCAGGACTGTATTTTAGGACGACCTTTCTTATTTGACTACGGATGCACTCTGGAATATCACGAGAATGGCGAAACTCTTTCTTTCCAAGGAACAAAGGGGCGACGGGTGTCAGTACCATTAGCAAGAACGGGCCAGGGAAGAGGCTGGAACAATAAGAAGGATCTCAGTACCAATACCGTGAAGATACAGGACAACAATATACAACCAAATGAGGATCATCGCATGTTCAGAAGCAAATCAAATCAGCATTTTTTATGAATTCTGGTGTTCAACTACGGAATTACTCACTTAAGCTAGTCAAGAGAGTTATATTCAGAACACCGGGTTTCTTAGACTGGCTCAAAACATTTCTTTTGGATCTATTTAGAAAACTACCAAAACTAACAAAAAGATATTTTGCAAAGGTAATGTTATTAAAAAAGAACATTCTGATTATTTTTCTTCTACTTTTGAAAATTTGTAAAACAGAAACTGTACGATTACGGGATACTTTGACTAACCGGGGATCATTGTTGACAAGGAAAGATGGGGTTTCAACTTCCAAGGAAAAGGAAACGACCCTGGCAGTCAATTCAATCAAAAAAGTGTCAAAACCAGTACAACAGAATCGGGAAAGAATTACGGATATTTTACTCACGAAAGGGTTAGGTTTAACCTTCCAAACAAAGCTGTGCGAAAGTTGGCGAGAGGGAAATCTATGGTGTATGACAAAGTATAAACCAGTTGGAAAGAAAGTTCGACCAATAAATCAACCAATTCC